TTTTTTTGAGACAGCCTTGGCTTGTCACCCAGGCTGAAGGGCAGTGGCCCGATCTCGGCTCACCGCAACCTCTACTTCCCAGGTTCAAGCGATTCTCTTGCCTCAGCCTCCTGAGTAGCTGGGATTACAGGCATGTACCACCACACCCAACTAAGTTTTGTATTTTTAGCAGAGATGGATTTCACCATGTTGGTAAGGCTGGTCTCTAACTCTTGCCCTCGTGATCCACCCGCCTCAGCCTCCCAATGTGCTGGGATTATAGGGCTGAGCCACCTCACCCGGCCTTGACTAAAAATTTTTTTTTTTAATTATCTGAGTGTGGTATGTGCGCCTGCAGTCCCAGCCATTTGAGAGGCTGAGGCAGGAGGGTTGCTAGAGGCCACAAGGTAGAGCCTGCAGTGAGCTATGACTGCACCATTGCACACATTCCAGCCTGGGCTGCAGACCGTTTCCAAAAATAAATAAGATACGTTGCCATGAATAGCTGCAGAACGGTTTCTTGTTTGTTAGATTCTTTCTTGGGGGTTTGTTGTTGTTGTAGATAGTCTCACAGTGTCACTCACTGCAGCCTCGATCTTCTGGGCTCAAGCAGTCCTCTTGCCTCAACCTCCCAAGTGGCTGGGACCACATGGACAAGCCACCATGCCTGGCTGATCTTTAAATCTTCTGTAGGGATGAGGTCTTGTTGCCTAGGCTCATGTCAAACTCATATGCTCAAGCAGTTTGCTGGCCTCAGCCTCCCAGAGTGGGGGATTACAAGCATGAGCCACCGTGCCCAGGTAATTTTTAAATGTTTTGTAGAGATGGGGTCTTACTATGTTGCCCATACTAAAATGGTCCTTTTATACTTGGAAAAAAAGGATTACAGTGCTAACATCTTTGTGCCAGTGCAATGCTGTAAGAATAGAAATAATTCCCGACAGAACTTAGGTTTCTTTCCTGTGGGACTCTTTCAGCTGCAATTTCATTGTAACACAGGGACACGGATGGCGGCCTGTGAGATGAAGTAACAAACTGTTTGATAAGCCTAGCGTGTGCATTGTGTGTCCCGTCCTCCTCATTGTACTGAACTGCTCCCTTTCTCTTAGTTAACTTACCGAGACTGGCTACACCTGGAACTGGAAATACGACCTGAAGTTGATGCCCTTTCAGACACAGAAAGGTAAAGGTTCAAAAGAGCTACCCCAATTGGGCGTGGTGGCTCACGCCTATAATCCCAGCACTTTGGGAGGTGTATCCCTGGGATTGTCTTTCTTAATTACTTAAGTGATACCTAGAGAGCCTGTTGTGGGCAAGTTTCAGACAGTGGATAAAGCACACACCCTAGCACTCACATTTTCCTGGGTGGGCTCTTTCTGTATGAGTGGATTACGGTATTGATGGTTCTGTGCATTGCACGTTTGTTTGTTTGTTTGTTTGAGACAGGGTCTCCCTCTGTTGCCCGGGCTGGAGTGCAGTGGTGCAGTCACGACTCACTGCAGCCTCCCTCCCCAGAGCTCAAGTGATCCTCCTGCCTCAGCTTCCTGAGTAGCAGGGACCACAGGCGGGCACCGCTATGCCCGGCTAATTTTTTATTTTTTGTAGGGATGGGGTCTCCCTGTGTTGCTCAGGCTAATCTCAAACTCTTGGGCTCAAGTGATCTTCCCACCTTGGCCTCTGACAGTGCTGGGATTACAGATGTAGCCACTGCAATTTTGAGTGAGTGTGACTTGAGTCCTTTCCCGTCCGTATGCACAGAGCCTACGGTCAGGACGCAGGTTGCTTCACCGTCCGCTGCTGGTGGGCTGTGAGGAGCTCAGGTGTGTCCTCAGGCGACTTGCCAGCCTACTTTTGTGTGGTTGGCCATTCTGTTCACCAGGCTCATCAGCCATGTGGTCAGCAGTTAACCAGTGGGATGATACCCTGAGTGGGCTTTGATCAGTGGAAGAGCGGGGTCACAGAGGTCACTCCTGAGACCAGGCCTTTCCCACAGCCCGCAGCCCCTCAACCTGCAGACAGTGAGGTCGAATCTCACTGAGGACTCCGAGGTCCTGAGCCACCAACCAGACTTCATTCAGCTGTCACTTGGGCTGTATGTTCCTTACTGTGGGCCTGCTTCCTGGGTATGGGTAACCTCTGGCCACGAAGCATTTCTCAGAAGTGATGTCAGTGTTTGCTGTTCCAGACAGGACTTCCACCAGTGGGCGATCCATGAGCACTTTCTCCCTGAGCCCTCTGCCTCAGGGGGCTGTGATGGAGACCTGGAGGCCGCATGTACCATTCTTGTCAACGCGCTGATGGATTTCCACCAAAGGTTAGCAGTGTGCACTGAATTAGTCCGGGTTCTCTAGAGGGACAGAACTCATAGGATATCTACAAAGGGGAGTTTCTGGCTGTGCTGGCAGCTGATTGCATCTGGGTGCCCACCCAGATTAAGGGTGGGTCTGCCTTTGCCAGCCCACTGACTCAAATGTTAATCCCCATCGGCAGCACCCTCACAGACAAACCAAGGATCACTACTTTGCATCCTTCAGTCCAATCAAGTTGACACTCAGTATTAACCATCACACACACCAATGAGGCCTTACTTTTAATCGTGGTAGTTCTAGGACTGCCTTTTTATCTCAGTCCAGTTTTATTATGCAGAGTACACTTGAGCATATCACATAGCAAGTCTAAGTCTGTACAAAATAAAAGCAAGCTTTCCAAATCGGTAGTTTCTTTATGTGTATACACTTGTCAAGAGCAACGACTTTGGGCTGGGCGTGGTGGCTCACACCTGTAATCCAGCACTTTGGGAGGCCGAACTGGGTGGATCACCTGAGGTCAGGAGTTTGAGACCAGCCTGGCCAACACGGTGAAACCCCGTCTACTGAAAATAGAAAAATTAACCGGGCATGGTGGTGGGTGCCTGTAATCCTAGCTACTTGGGATGCTGAAGCAGGAGAAGTACTTGAACCCAGGAGACGAAGGTTGCCGTGAGCTGAGATTGTGCCACTGCACTCCAGCCTGGGCAACAGAGCGAGACTCTGTCTCCAAAAAGAAAGAGCAACAACTTTGTCTCTTTCTTCCGTCACCTGGTATTGAAGACCAGTAAGTGTGAAGCATGGCACTAATGGTCTGGCAGGTATTGGGCATCACAGCATCTCACCATCTGAGCGGAACGCTTAGGACACGGCAGTTTCTGAGGCATTGTATGTGGGCCAGAAAGATGGGCGGAGTGCCATCACCTGGGACCGTCCCACCTTTGTCCCAGTGGGCTCCTGCATGCAGCCCTGCAGGGACAGCAAGTGTGTGTGTGCCTTCCTGCCATGTCTCCTGCCTGGGGCAACCAGGAATCCATCTGTGGTTCATGGATTTGCCTGTTTGGGATATTTACTGTTAACAGAATCATGTAGTATGTGGCCCTTAGTGTCTGGTTTCTTTTGCTGAGGAGGAAGGAGAATGTTTTTGAGGCTCGTCTGTGTCATAGCCCTTATCAGTTCGCCCTTCCTCATGGCTGATGGATGCACACTGCAGGTGTGGAGGCCAGCGCCCCTCCATCGTGGGTGCTAGTGCACCACGTTGACTTCTTGTTAAACCCACTCCAAGAATGCCGCCTGAGGCTTCCCATATATCTGCTGTTAACTTAAATCCCACTCTTAGGTCAAAACAGCCTTGAGGCCGGGCACAGTAGCTCACGCCCGTGATCTCAGCACTGGGAGGCCAAGGTAGGCGGGTCATCCGAGCTCAGCAGTTCCAGACCAGCCTGGTAAAGCCCTGTCTTGACAAAAACAATATTAGCCAGGCATGGTGGTGCGTGCTTGTGGTCCCAGCTGTTTGGGAGGCTGAAGTGGGAGGACTGCTTGAGCTTGGGAGACACAGGTTGCAGTGAGTTGTGATAACACTCCATCATGGGTGACAGTGAGACCCCATGTCAGAACAAAAAAACAAATCTTCCACCCTAAATCCAGCGGTTAGATTCACAGAGCATTTGTGCCTTCACCTGAGGGGCTGACTTCCGGAGTCCTACGTAGTCCTTCCCTGTGGTATAGAAGCCCCGCCTGCGGTGACGTGCAAGGGTGGTGCAGAATCTCCTCTCTAGGCTGAGTGACCTTCCCGGTGGTATAGAAGACCTGCCTGGGGGTAACAGTGGAGGGATGCAGCATCCCCTAAGCATCTAGGCTGCTGGAGACACGGCTTCTGTCTGTAAGTCTTCAAATGTTTTTGTCTGAGAAACTGGATTTTTCAGCCTCATTCTTCAGCCTCCCGGCTTGGCTTCCTTAGCCTTTATGGGTAGGTTTGCACAGACCTGGTTACTGTGGAACAGAAGGATCAGCCACATTTTGTTTATCCGTTCACATTTTTTTTTGAGACAGTCTTATTTATTTATTTAGAGGCAGAGTTTTATTGGTCACCCAGGCTGGGGTGCAGTGGTGAGGTCTCAACCCACTGTAGCCTCAACCTTCTAGGCTCAAGTGATCTTCCTGCTTTAGCCCCTCAAGTAGCTGGGACTACAGACACCATCACGCCCAGCTAATTTTTGTTTGTTTCTTTATTTATTTATTTGAGACAAGAGTCTCACTGTCTCCCAGGCGGGAGTGCAGTGGCGCCATCTCAGCTCACTGCAACCTCCACCTCTCAGTCAGGTTCAAGCAATTCTGCCTCAGCCTCCCGAGTAGCTGGGATTACAGGCGCCCACTACCATGCCCAGCTAATTTTTTGTGTTTTCAGTACAGATGGGCTTTCACTGTTTTAGCCAGGATGGTCTTGGACTCCTGACCTTGTGGTCTGCCCGCTTTGGCCTTCCAAAGTGCTGGGATTATAGGCGTGAGCCACTGCACCCGGCCTAATTTTGCATTTTTAGTAGAGATGGGGTTTCACTGTGTTGGCCAGACTGGTCTTGAACTCATGATCTCAAGTGACCCGCCTGCCTCGTCCCCCCACAGTGGTGGGATTACAGGTGTGAGACTCTGTGCCAGGCCTGACTTTGTGATAACAGCCATCCTAGTGGGTAAATGCTGTTTCATTGTGGTTTTGATTTGCATTTTCCTGATTCCCTGATGTATAATGATTCTGAGTTTTTTTTTTTTTTTTTTTTGGATACGGGGCCTCACATTGTCATCCAGGCTGGAGTGCAATGGTGTGATCTTAGCTCATTGCAACAACCTTCGCCTCCCGGGTTCAAACGATTCTCCTGCCTTGGCCTCCCAATGTGCTGCGATTATAGGTATGGGCCACTGTGCCTGGCCTAATTTTTGTATTTTTAGTAGAGAGGGGGTTTCACCATGTTGGCCAGGCTGGTCTTGAACTTCTGACCTCAGGTGACTTGCCTGCCTTGGCCTCCCAAAGTGCTGGGATTACAGGCATGAGCCACCATGCCCTGCCCCAGGCAGTATATGCCCGTGATCTTAGGAGTAAAGCTTTCAGTTTTTTCTCATTAAATTTGATGTTAGCTGTGGGTTTTTCATAAATGCCAGGTACCAGATTGAGAAGATTCCCTTTTGTTCCTAGTTGATTGATTGTTTTCATCACAAAAGAATGTTCAATTTTGTCAAGTGCTTTTTCTGCATCCATTTCGATAATCTTATGCTTTTGCTTTGTATTTTATTGATAACTGCATTATGTTAGTTTTGAGATGTTAAGCTAACCTTGCATTCTTGAGATAAACCCTCTTGGCCATGGTATATAACGTTTGTTTCCTGGATTGGGGTTGCTAGTATTTGGTCGCAGTTTTGCCGTTTATTGACTAATGTGAGGGCCACACTGTCAGAGCAGCACAGGCATCACCCAACTCTGGAGGCAGGGGGAGAACTGGGAACTTCACTATCGGGCGATACTGAGGAGGGTTTTATTGTATTTTCATTTCAGCTCAAGGAGTTACGGCCGCTCAGAGAATTCTGATTGGGTCTTTGGCGGCCACACAGGAAATGAGGATATTATTTCCAGATTGCAGGTGAGTTAGAGGATGCCAGAACTCAGTGTGCCACTTCATTTAGGCTGTGCGCTATTAAGATATTAATTATAGGCCGGGCGTGGCGGCTCACTCTTGTAATACCAGCACTTTGGGAGGCCAAGGTGGGTGGATTCCTGGGGTCAGGAATTCGAGACCAGCCTGACCAACGTGGTGAAACCCCGTCTCTACTGAAAATACGAAAATTAGCTGGGTGTGGTGCACACATGTAATCCCAGCTACTTCGGAGGCTGAGGCAGGAGAATTGCTTGAACTTGGGAGGCGGAGATAGCAGAGAGCTGAGATCACACCA